ACTGGAGAACTAACAACAAAAAGAGGGGAGATAAAAAATTCCTGACCATCTTCAAGGTGGAACTCTGTCAATATTGGAGCTACGCCTTCGCCGGAAATGTTTGGTAACCAAAGGGTCATAATGGCCGGAAAGGGGTCAGCTCATTTTCTAAGCAAGTCTTTACATGAAAACAAGAGTGGAGAGCGATGCGGATCCCATCCAACTTCTGCTATAATTGCCGCACTACTTCACTTTCCCCACTCCAAACGCCTGTGAGGGCCTGTACGTAAGTCTCTTACCAGTACTCTTGGCCGTAAAGCTAACGCCGCCAGCCAACTTCTGGTCGCACTCCTCCCACGTTATAGCCTCATAATCCCCGCAGCGACTTCAACAAACCATCAGTTAGTCCTGACATCTGCTGAATGCACAACCATTTCATTCATCCGGAGTCTGGAGAATGCAGTAAGGACTATCCAGAAGGATGAGTGATACCAAAAGACAAAGACTTAACGGGAATGCATCAAGTCTGGACTCCACCCTCGTGAAAGATTACGTCATACAGATAAAAACTGTTGGACCACTTACTGCTCGTAGCGGTCATATTATGATGTCCTCCCGAATGAAAATTAAGAAAATTATGACATCAGGGATGCACAGTAACTTTTTTCACTGCGGTGGCGCTAACTGTGAGACCATGAGAGATCAGCCTATACGTGCACTCTGACCTAAAGGGTGGAATCTTTTTACGATGCACCGGCGCTGGACATAGGTGAGAGAAGTGGTTTTTGAGGACGGTCATCACAGAGCCAAAAGTAACTGACTGACCATCACTCGAGACACTGTGCCCAAGGTGCGCAAAGGAGGCCACTTTGGGCCAGAAGGCAGGATTGGTTCAAGTGGCGCTCATCGTGGAGGAGCCAGATTACCTTAACTATGGAAAATCCTGCAACCAATGCAGCAAGAAGTTCCGCATGCACAGCTTACCTACGAAATAACGTGGAGAAGCTCTGCTACTTGGTGCCCCTAAGAGAATCAACCAACAAAAGTACTAATTACAAAACAGGCTCCGAAGAAGATGCACTAAGTAGATTGAATGAATCAATTTTCTGCGCACGAAGTCTGGAACGGGGACCTGTGTTTTCGCGACCAAATTACCATTCACATGAAGTGTATCTAGTTATGTTTATGGGGACGAAAACTTATACTGCACTTTCGTCGCCGAACAAAGTACTGGAATAGCTGTCCAGACTTCCGTCAGGCACTGTCCGCTGACGTTGTCTCTGAGGCCGGTATTTCGACAGAACTACCATACAGCACTCCCGATTCACTCCGTGGCACCTACTGGAGTCAAGCCAACTCCCGAGAATATTAAATGTAACTTCTTGTCACCCATTTTCAAAGTAAACGACTGGAAAGACTCCGGCATCTGTCAGTCAATTTCCTAGCCCTCTGTAATGACCAAGCCACTGGAAAGCCCGGTAGCGGACAACACCTAGAACTTCCTCAAGGGGATAAAACAGTTCATTTTTGCGCGGAACGGCTTTCAGAGCAGGCGTCCATGCATCGCCAACTTCAGTTTTGTCTTGATTGCGCAGATAGATGGAGCAACAGAAAATCGGACCAATTTATCCTCTTTGACCTGGCAAAACAGTCAACAATGCACTACACGTCATCCTAGGCCCAAAGGCCTCATTGATCGCTATAAATGAACCTCTACTTTCTCGATTCGCAGCGTGTTCAGATGGCAAGTGGCCCCACGTTAAAGTTGGCAGAATATGATCCAAGCAGGGGTCACGAAAGCATTCAGAGAACCAAGGAGCAATATCTGGCAACTTTATTTCCGATTGCCACTATTAATTTTTTCGTCTGATAACGCAGAAGTGTAGAGGGAAGCAAACGAGAAAGCTAACTTCATGGTCCCCGAAAATCAGCTGTACTTGGATCATCGCAGAACAGCTTGGGCTTCACCCGGAAGAGAGTAGAGTGGTACAAATTTGGGCCTCCCAAAAGGAATGGAAACATGAAACGGTTTGAGCATCAATGCCATCAATAAGGTGTCCACAAGAAAGGACCTGGGCCCCAACTTCTTCAGCGCTCCACATACCAACTTCAGTTATGTAAGAAACACTGCGAGGTGTACGTTCGAATGTTTCCCGCAAACGCAAACGTAATGTGCGTACACCACATTTCCAACAGCAGTCTTCGAAATCATATGCTTTACCAGTGCTCAACGTGGCAGTGCGTAGGCGCTTGACCAGGACTTCAATCTTGTTGAGAAAGAAAACGATTTTCCGACTACAGGAGGGAAAGTATCCTAACAAGCTGCCAAGTCTGTATCTGTTTGCCCTAGGCCGGTTTTCAAGGAGGTGGGGGTTTCTTTGTTGCTTGCAGCATCATCCACCAAGAGATTCGCGCAGACAAACAGATTTTATCGGCAACCTGGCGATCATCATGGTGGATTCTTATCACATTGGAGCATAGCATACCTTGTTCCGCCCTCAAGTCAAACTTCTACTGTGGAGCACTTACTGTATTGAATGATATATGGAGCAGAGCAGTGGGATCGAACTCGATAAAATCGTCTAAACTATGAAACATGCCCACTGAGTCATATAGAAGAGATAATTCAGCGAAGAAAATTTTCTTTTTTCGACGATATCATCTTCTAAAGCTGTACAATCGTATATATATATATATATATATATATATATATCATAAACATATAACAGTCCATTATAAAACATAGGGTATAATTGTATCATTACCCAAGTGCTACAAAAAACCGAATCAAGAATGCAAAGTAGCTGCGCAATAATATAAGACAGTAGAAATATCGAAGAAGGCAAGGAGTTTGACAAGGCGAAAACTGTTGTAGATAAGAAACGCAAATATTGAGTGTCCACTTGAAAGATCGTCTAAGGGGACTGAGTGACCAACTTCATTTGTATTGGTTGCTAGAGGCCTACTCAGTGTGCTACCGACGTCGCTAAATACCCAACAAAGACGCCTTTTCCCACTAGGACCTGACTACTGCCTGCCTCCTATTTATTCCACACTGCTTATTTTGATACACACTCCCCCATAATTCTGCCTTTAACCATGCTCATCCTGCCTAATTTGTCATTTGGAAACATTTCATGTACTCCTTTACCCCCGTCTACCATTTTCCAGCAGGAACCTATCCAAATAGGAGCCAGAAGAAGACGCCTAATCCTCCTATTTGCCCATGGATCTCAGACAACTCAATCTGATTAGAGCAGGAAAGCAGTAAGCCCTTCACCACCAGCTGCAACTGCAAAGTCGGCTCCCAAAACTGGGTGAGGGAGATCAAGAAGTACCAGTTTCTTTTCTTACATAATTGATGTCGATTGTTGGGTCCATGAATGTACCTAAATTTTGCTAGGAAGAAGATAGTTCCTGAATACTTCGGCGTAATGGACGTAGAATAAAGTGACCATGTTTCGATTGAGTGCCCTCCTGTGTTTGGGGAGCTCCAAAGGCAATACGGTAGCGAAAGTACCCCTAAACGACATCTTTGGCATAAAATACCTTACCTAGGGAATTTACATAATCGTGCTTCGGTAAATATGTGCTTACCCAGCGCCCATCTTCTCAGGAAAATGTTCAGTCATAAATTCTTGTTTAAGCCTGTTTGTGCGAAGTGTGGTCAGTTCCAGCCGTCTATCCCTCGCATGTTTGGTAGATGATTCAAAACCTCAAAATATTGTAACGGAAACAACAAATCAACAAGGCACTTAAGACTCTGAATTTTCTGCGGCGTTTAACACTTAGCATGGTCAACAGCATGTGCCTAGGACAAAGAATTACGCACCAAAGTAAATAAAATTAGATTGACATGAGGAGGGCAGGAATACGGGTTACTTGCAGGCCACTCTTATTTTTACTATTCGCAAGTGACCTTCCAGTTCGTATCTACTGGGATCTACTCAATAAGTGCTCAATCATCAGAGCGCCAGCAGAGAGGGAGCCAGGTCTAAGCTTTTCTGATACACTAGATATTGGCTGTATCTGTAAGGTAATGGCGATGAAGGGGGATGACGTCATACACTTCTCAAAGAGGTATGTTGGGGCCTTAACCCACGGACTATCCCTCATAGTATTCAAAGCCTATGTTGCAAAACGCCTAGAGGCATTCAATAGGATAGCTCCCCATCTACTAGAGAGACACGAGTACTCTTGTGAAGGCACAGCGATGACAGAAAACGTCAGTCAACAGGCTAACAGTCAAAAAATATGCACAGCATCCCAGACAACTCAAACTGTTTACTTTGAACTACAGAAAGAAGAGAGGTGGCCTAATAACAGCTCACCAGATCATCCACTAAGTGGGCCACTCCAGAAAGGTAACATTGTCGGTCCAAGACCGACTCCCCTACGGGAACCCCACTCCATGTCCCACCAGAGGGCGAATACGAGAGCAATATCCAACTTTTTCTCACAAAAGGTGCTTCCCTTATGGGGTGATACGCCTAGAGAAGTAGTCATCGGTTGGCTCCTGCGAACGACTTCAAGACAAGTACACTAACACCAGAAGGTAGCAATTTAAGGTATGCACATTTATCCCAACCCTAGTGTCCGAAATGTCACCAATACCCCCACCATATTATTACTAGCAAATATATTTCCATAAATACTTTATACCCTTTTTTCTCATTCCGCACTCACCACTTTTCTCGCACTACTTTAAAGTAACGCTTAACACTTACTTACAGATGCTTTGAAATAAAGGAGCCTCAGATGGCCGATTTATCAAGTCAGTGGTTCCACTGCAACCTCAAATAGACAAACCTACATCCTAGGAAAGAAAACCTTCAAAGAGATGATCATCAACTCCAAGGCTATAGGGAGGTAAAGTGTAAAGACTTTCGCCCCAACAAGGAAGTACATTGGAAAATAAAGAACCTAGCATTGAGATCTAAAATTGAGAGCTTGAATGGCACAAGTTTCTTCTAGTCTCACCATTACTGTTGGATGCTGTTTAATGGATCGTTTGTATATACTGACAACAAGGTCAGAAGTATCGGTAAATGCCTACTAGGCTTGACCGCGATGATTGAAGACGGTCATTATCACTTCAAATTAAATCAAAAGAATATTGATAATTCGATGTCCGCTGGTGGAAACAAATATTGTTATGGTTCGGAAGATGAAGAAGATGATTCTGAAGTGAAGAATGAATCTAAAGATAGCGTATGGTCACAGAAATTGAGCAGAGTTTCCGTGAGGCTTTGATCATTTACCCGCCTTGTGGGAGAAGGAAGATCATTATATCGGACGAAGGGAAAATGTTTGGTAATCTCAATTAGTTAAGACATATTGTTTTAAACATGTTTTTCATCTTATGACATGAGAGGTATTGTTTATAATCTGTATGTAGCCGGAGGTCAAACAATTCGGTTGTAGTCTAAATTTTTTATACCAAAACATTGAGAAAGGTGTAATAGCTCTTGCTTAGGATTTAGATATTTTTGAATCTTCTCATGTGTATGTTTGAGTACTGCATTAGTATGCTAATCCTTTCCTAACAGATTTCTGTCCTCAACCGGTCTCTTAGCAAATCAACTGGTTCTACAAACGCCACTTTTACTGGCAGTCAGTCCTAAGCATATACTGACCGATGCGAAAGTCAGTACTCCGCAATAATGAACTTTGACTTTAACTAGGTTTCAAACTTTGTCACTGTGTTATCTAACTTGTTCCTACCTACTAAGAAGAGAAGAATGACTCATCAGACCCAGGGCAATTCATAAAATTCCCTCATTTGTTATGACATGATAAAAAGATGTTCGAAAGGTCAGTTTGCTATATTCATCATAAGAATGACTATCCTCTAAACATTTTTGAGAATCGGTGATTGAAGAAAATAAAGAATTTTTAGTCAGCTATATAATACTTGTTTACATAGTTGACTTTTGATATGTCCTAGTAAAGCTTTTGTTTCATGAAACCCAAAAATTAGATGCACAACAGATAAGAAATTTTGTAGTTATATTACCTCATGATCTTCATAATGATGGCTTTTGCTCAAATTTATCGTATAAAGTTAAGATTTCTTGTAGCCATTCTTGCTACACTGTCTTTCCTGCTTTAAAAAAACACATTCTATCAATGTATCACACGATCGTACTTATTACTGGATACCTTTACGAAAGAACATCTGTCACAACATAATGAATGCTTTGGTAATCTAAGCAACCTACATATTCCTCATCGCTCTCCAAACTCTTAGCAGTCACTTCGTAATAATCAGTAGGAGATATCAAGTCACTCGAAAGTATAATCTCTGGATGAATTTTAACAGTACACAAACCAGTCTCCTGTTGCACAATCACTGCCATTATAAAGATGAATGTATATTGCGACCCAAAACTATTTTAAAGTTGTTAGAATTGAGTAGCTGAACAAGTGTATCCTCATTCCTTCGAAGCCACCCTAATTTGCCTTATTTTTTCATTGAATTTTATCATTTGACATTATCTGAATACTAGAGTATCGATTATTTTCTAAGGTAATGTAGATTGCTGGCATAAGGAAAACATGACTGTCTTTACGCCTGATACTAGTTCATAATTTTAGGGTTCAAGGGGAACTCATGCTGTGCATCATCATCTGACTTACCAATCCCCGCAATGAACGAAAGTTTGAACTTTTGAAGCCATGGTTCACCGCACTCGGGATCACATCTCACTTGTACAATAATCGCCAGTGTATTATTGGAAGATTAAAACATCCAGGAAAAAAATCAGTTGAAACAGAACCAGCTATAGTGTTATTTGCTTATGCTCCGTACATAACGTTCCCCTCTTTATCTAGTTTGTTGTGTATTATGAAGACTTTAACCAACTTGATACGCATCAGGTCGTACCTGCCGATTGGAAAATGGACGTGAATTACCTTTTTTTGTTTTAAAGGTAACAAAAGTCATTCGCATAGTTAAAAGAAGCATATGTTTCACATTCATTGGCCACAAATGGTTTATTTCTACTCGTCAGTTCCTTCGGTTACTTCATATTATATATATATATATATATATATATATATATATATATATATATATATATATATTACTGGAGAGTATTCATAACACATGATTTCACTTGCATTTATTGTTATAAATCTGCCAACTTTTACTAAAAATTAAATTGGTTTGAGAGGTAAACATATCATTTGGAGAATGTATGAGTACTCGCCTAAGAGCAACGTTTCGTGGTTCAACTAATAACAAAACTGAATAACAGCTCTTAAGAAAAAAATAAGTAACTTGTCTATAAAATGTATCTGCAATTTCTAACTATTGCATTGTCATTCCTAATTTCAACAATTCCTATCTAAATGATCATTTGAAGGGTTCTGAATCAAATCACATCTCTTGCAGCCGTTCCAAAATTCCCAACGTAAGAACTTTGTTTCTTTAAAAGATGGAGAAACTTGTCTCTCTTGCATTCTGCAAACCTGACTATCAGAAAAACTGATTAACATTACACTTCTAGATATCCTTTAGTTTGCACTTGAGTTTCTCCTTTATCTCACATGTTTTCAAAAATACCATATTAATGTTATTAAGCTAATTTCAATGCCGGAAATTATTTTCATGATAAGTGAATGATTGTGATTCAGTGTTTTAAAAGCTTACATTGGGAATACTACTAAATATAAGTCAATACGCTCTACGTATTTGTACTCACAGCCTATTTTTTACAAACCAGATGATGTTTCCTTTTAGTAAATATGCTACAGGTTTTCAATTAGTTGGCTTTTTTGGAATACAAAACTTATATCAAATGAAATTCCCCTCAACAATTAAACTTAAGTATTCTTTATTTAACATCTTAACTCCTCATTAATGTGTATTTTACTGCTTGTCTAGATGACATTTCTCAGCTTCAGGTTCCGTTGTGAATTTCATCATTCTGTTGTCAAATTAGCACTTGATGGCTGACCTTTTTTACTTCCCTGAGAGTGTGAACTGTCACATCTATGCCCTTATCTCATCATACACTATTTCATGTCTTTTTTCTGTTTTGCAAACTTCTCCTCCTACTTTAAAGCTGAGAAAATTTCATTTCTATGGCAATTCAGTGGTGTTTGGTATGTCGTTATCCAGGCGGGAAAATAATGGAAATTCGCTTACTATTTAGTCATTCGTTAACCATATAATTATAGCTAGAGCCAAAGGTCTGTTCCACTTGGAACCAAGACTGTACACTATTGAGGAGTTGAAAACGATAAGAGGACAATCGTTCCTTTGGATGTGATATTGGGTGTTTCATATTTCAGCACATAATAAAATCTTATCCCTTGCCGTAGTATGAAATTAACATATTGCACTTCATCCCATTTATGCATATCTCACCGCTCATGAAGCTATTAACTTCTGGTTGTTGCGATACAACATGGAATGTAATCGCTATTATGCTTTATACGCAAATAAATTACCCTACCACGTCACATTTTTTCAATGGCTGTAAGTCTTAAGTTAACGGTTCTTTGAACAATTTAATTCGTTTTCGGAAGATTTTATGGGTATATTACGTAACTTCAGGTCCCTATTAGCTTTTATTACCTGTGCCATTTTCATGTATTTTTCCTACCCTGAATTTGAATCGATGATCAGGATTTTCTTTAGAATCTGCTCTTTATTCTGAACTAGTTCATTATAGGCTTTTGTTTCTACACTGCTGCTTGACGTGTAGAGAAATCAGTGAAGCGATTACCAGCTGACTACCGCATAAGTATAAGTGGCTTGCAATGCAGTTACTTAAGTGTGAAGCTGAGTCCTGGGACCAATCGCTTAGTACGAGTTTTCATTACCTACTTGTTGAGAATATCTGCTTATAAAAACCCATGCTACAATTAGGAACTTAACTCAATAACTTGGGAGACTTTTTGAAGTGTAGAAATATGAATCTTCCTAAATGATTACCTGAACAACTAAATTAGGATAAGAGCCTAGTATTATGTGTAATATTTAACGGTAATTCAACCTGAATTTGACGTGTTCCTACAAAGGACCAAGAATTATGCAGTTATATCATCCGCCTAAACGCCGCTCGTAATAATGATACTAAAGAAAACAAACTGATATATGCTGGATTAGTTTCTGGATAATAAGTAGTGTTTCACTTACTAGTCCTGATTACTCACTTGATTTTGTTGTTCTAGCATGGGATGGGTTCACTCTTCAGCATAGCTTCATATTCCAATGCAACATATTCACCATTTCATTCAGTCATCAAAAAGTCCCGAACGTGGGTGTAGTGCTTTGTTAATACCCATTAGCGGGATGTATCTGCAAGTTGGTCCATCAAAGACTCGAAATTCGATCAGTCATTGCCATGGTTGGAGATAGTATCATTGCGTTATCTGGTTCTAGTCTGTAGAACACCACAGACAGCTTTGAATAATTATTATTTTTATTATCAGTCCCCTGGGTTCCTAATGGAACACACGGCTTCAGTAGCACGTCTCCATTCCACTCTCTTCTCTGAAATCTTTTGAACCTGGCTCCACAACAGCCCACAAGCTCTCATTTCCTCCTCGCACGATCTCCTCCATGTCACCCTCTCCTCGGACGCCCAACTCGTCGCTTCCCATCTGGGTTCCACTAGACAACCTGGCCTGATGCGTGATGTTCCCAGTCGGTCTTCTCAGTGTATGCCCAATCCATCTCCACTTCCTTCTAATGCATATTTGTTGGGTGATAGGTTCTTGGTTGGTTCGTCACCAGCCACAGTGAGTTCCTTGTTGCTCATCCTTATTATTCTGGCCATCTGACCATCAGTAATGAGCCAGCGGAGGCAGTTGTTGATGAATGTCTGTAGTTTATTGGAAATCCCTTTCGTAAGGCGCCAAGTCTCTGAACCATCACAAAGGAGCACTGACTTGACATTGGTGTTGAAAATCTGCATCTTGTTCCGCATGCTGAGTGCAGAAGATCTCCACACTGGTTTTAGGCTGATGAAGGCCTATCTTGCTGTTTTTTTGATTCTGACTTTGACATCCTCGTCTGTGCCGCCTGTAGTTGAAACAGTGCTTCCTAGATAGGTGAAGGAGGCTACTTCCTTTAAGTTTCTCCCGTTCATAGCGATTGGAGCTTCTGTTGTTGGTGGTGGTGTTGTTGGTTGGGTATCTTCATCACCTCTGTCTTCTGTATATTCACTTGAAGTCCCGTCTTCGCTGCCTCTTCTGTCAACTTGTTAGTTTTCGCCTGCAGATCTTCAAGTTTGTGTGACATCAGACACAAGTCATCACTGGCGAAATCCAGATCTTCTAGGTTCTTTTCCGCGGGCCAG